AAATACGGTTACTTATGGCCAAGCATCAGCCAGTTTTCTTGCTATCCGATGCCTTTTCGAGTTAGCTAACGAATGCCAATTGTCGCAACCAGAAATCGCGAAGATATTACGTCAGGATTTCTACGTAGATGACTTGTTAACCGGTGCGGATACTATTACTGAAGCTTCGAACATTTGCCGTGAAGTCTCACGTATTTTACTTACAGGTTGTTTTCCACTCAGAAAATGGATTTCAAATGACCCAAGAGTTTTAGAAAGGGTAAATAATCAAGATGATTCCTTTGGAATTCTAAACCTCTCTAAAGATGGAGTCACAAAAACTTTAGGACTTATTTGGTCATCCCAACGTGATTCACTATTATACAATGTACAATATAACAATTACAAGGAAACTTGTACCAAAAGAGATGTTCTTTCTTTAATTGCAAGAATATACGATCCACTAGGCTTAGTAGGTCCTTGTATCATACTTGCGAAGATTCTAATGCAAAGGCTATGGACTGAAAAACTGAATTGGGATGAAAAATTAAGCGGTTCATCACTAAATACTTGGAATAGATTGAAAAATGATCTTGCCAATCTGAAACAATTAAGTATATCACGTCATGCAGTGTGCAATAATGCTAAAGATATAGAAATACACGGTTTTTCGGACGCATCACAACAAGCCTACGGTGCTTGTATCTATTTAAGAAGTACTGATGACAAGGGAAATATCTCGGTTAAAATTCTATGTGCTAAATCAAAGGTTGCCCCTATCAAAACTCTAAGCATTCCACGCCTAGAGCTTTGCGTAGCTGTATTACTTTCACGTCTTTTAACTAAGGTAATTGAATCCATTAATATAGACCTCAATAAATGTTATTTATGGTCAGATTCCACAATAACCCTTGCTTGGATCAATACTTCTCCTAACAATCTTCAAACCTTCGTAGCTAACAGAGTCTCCGAAATTCAGGTCTTAACAAAGTCCTATACATGTAAGTATGTACCCACACAAGATAATCCTGCAGACCATCTATCAAGGGGATTATCTCCTTCTCAAATACTAAATTCTTCACTATGGTGGGACGGTCCGTCATGGTTGTCTTTAAGGGAAGAATTTTGGCCCCTTTTAAATCCAAAGGTAGACATTCTACCCGAAATAAAATCTCAAACTATTCTCAATTTTGTTTCCTATTCTCAGCAAGAACAATGGTTTCCATTCAAGGCCTTTTCACAATATTCGCGTTTACTGCGCGCATTTGCATACATCCTTAGATTTAAAAATAATTTATTAACACCCAAAATTCTTAGAGAGTGTGGCTCTCTAACATTAACCAATATTAATGACGCTCGTCGTTATTTATTGAAGATCATACAACTACACTCTTTTCGCGAAGAGTATGATCAGCTGTCAAAACAAAAAAGCGTTAGTTCCAACAGCAAGCTCTTCTCTTTAAACCCATTTATTGACCAGGATGGTTTAATACGTGTTGGTGGTCGCTTGGCTAACTCGGATTTTCTATATGACAAAAAACATCCCATTGTCTTGGATTCAAAACATCATTTCACGATATTATTTTTCCGTCATGAACACCTGCGTCTATATCATGCAGGCCCTCAGCTGCTTCTATCTACTATTCGGGAGACATATTGGCCTATATCAGGCAGAAACCTATCTAGGTTGACTGTTAAACAATGTACCACTTGTTTACGATTTAATCCTAAACCTATACAACCAATCATGGGTGATTTACCACGTGACCGATTACTATACACATTTCCCTTTGCCATCACTGGTATTGACTACGCCGGTCCGTTTTTGTATAAAAATAAGGGCAGAGGTGCCAAATTAAATAAATGCTATATTTCATTATTCATATGTTTTGCTACAAAGGCGATTCATCTTGAGCTCGTAACCGATTTGAGCACTCAAACATTCATGCTTGCCTTGCGCCGCTTTATCGCTCGTAGAGGAAAGCCAGCCAAATTGTACTCAGATAATGGTAGAAACTTCGTGGGTGCCATGTCTGAACTTAAAAGATTTTTAAAAATTAACAATGCACACATACAAGATTCATGTACACATGAGGGTATTGAATTGCATTTAATTCCGCCATATTCTCCACATTTCGGGGGACTCTGGGAATCTGGAGTAAAATCTTGTAAATTTCACTTAAAACGTTCACTTAAAAATACAAATCTTACATTTGAGGAGTTTGCAATAATACTATCACAAATAGAAGCAGTACTCAACTCCAGACCTTTGTGTCCTATTAGTCCTGATCCTAATGATTTAACACCACTCTGTCCCGCTCATTTCCTCATCGGTAGAATGCCAACGCTAGCTCCAGAACCAGATCTACTCCAAGAGATTCCACAACGACTCAATAGATTTCAACGCATCCAACAAATTTTCCAAAGTTTCTGGAAGAGATGGTCTTCCGAATACGTCGTCGAGCTACAGAGACGTTCTAAGTGGCAAATATCCAAGGGAGAATTAGTAGAAGGAACTTTAGTCCTTATCAAAGATGACTGTCTGCCACCAGCAAAGTGGAAATTAGGCAGAATAACTCACATACATGACGGATCGCAGAATACCGCTAGAGTTGCAAAAATAAAGACTCAAGAAGGTATCATCACGAGGTCATTCTCCAAAATATGTCCTCTCCTTCCATTAAATTGAAAGATTCAGGATCTTTCAAGGCCGAGAGTATGTCGACGACAACCCATTTTGTATTTGAACGGTCCGCCACTGCAGCCCAGCCAGCCAGCTAGTCGGTACAGACGACAGATTACAGAATGACATTCCATCACCAGCCGTTGAGAAGCATAGAACTATTTGTTATTGTTTTCATATTTTTGTGCAAATTCATAAATAAATGCAGTATTTTAGACTATTAATTAATTTCAATAAATACAGTCCACTACAACAATAAACACCATGCCTTCTTAGAGCTATAATATGAAACGGCAGATGATGCATTATATCTTTTAAAACTCTTTAAACGCGATTTGCCAACCACTACAGCAGTCAATATAAGCAAACGATCAGCGTTAACACAAAGCAGTGCTGAGATCCTATTCTTGCTCGTTTTTCTTCCAGAATTTGATTTTTCATATTTGGAGGTTTATGTGCTTTCAGGCAAAATGCGCCATAACAAACCAGTTTCGTCAGCATTGTAAATCTGAGATTCTAATAACATTTCGTTACTTATATGTTCTACTAATTTTTGCCTAAAAGGTTCTATTACTTCTTTTGGTGCACTTGAAGCTTCGCCGTAAATTCTTTTATTCATGATTTCTTGCCTTTTTTGAAAGTGACAGACTCATCCATCACTTGCTCTGAATGGTATGTCCATATTGGTGGTGTGGTGCTCTGAATGATGATTTGCTAATTTAATTGCAGCAGATTTCAATTCGACTGCCTGGACCGGGACCCCACTAGAACATTGTTGGCTGTACCATTTTAAGATTGCTTCTTTGACTGAAGTTACACGAGCCAATTTCATTCCTTTTCTGAGATTGCTGTTCACTCCTACATTATATTTTGCTTGATTTTTTTTATGTCCGAAACAGTTTGCTTCTTTATGCCATATTGATATTGATAATATATATGAGACACCGACGTTCTAGACTCAAACTTTTGTTTAATCTCTAGTTTTTGATTGATTGTTATATATTGATTCGTTTCTGCTTGTCTATATTTAAAGGTTAGGATTGCGAAAACATAAACTTATTTACTGGCGTACACTAAAGTGTAAATTCACAAGGAATAAATAAGTCAAACTGCTGTAGAGTTGGGTGAATTCCCGGCCAGCGAGGTAAACACCCATATAATCGTAGAAACCTACATGTTATTATATCAAGGAATCCCCTAATAATATGTGATGTTTTTACTTTCTGTCTCTTGCCTACAAACGTGTAAATATATATATCTCATGTGTGTAGATACACTATATTATGTTTATGATAAAATATTATGTTTCTCTTATAAATGCTTTATTTATTTAATTATTTTTCAGCAAAAAAATATATACATATTAATAATAGAAATGTGTCCTCTTATGCTAAATTTTATTAAAATTCTTTGTAAAATACAGTGGTGTGGGACGGGTTAAGCATGTATAATATTAGAGGTACAGGATTTTAACAAGAGCTCTGAGTTATGTAGATTTAGTACACAAGTTTACCTGTTATTTACAAGGTCACAGCTCTTGTCAAAATCCATTACCTTTGACTTTAACTATCTCATACAATAATGGCATTAGGTGAAGCTCTGGGTAGCTAAATATTTTTCAATTTAGTAACTATGAAAATACTACAAAGAGATGTAAGGGATAACCTAAATAGTTGATCTGATAACTTAAAAAGAAGTGTAATGAAATAATAAACAACTTTATGAAGAATTACAGAACAAGGAATCTTGTGAAGAAGGGTCAGTTAATTGAACATTAAGGAATTAAATAAATGTAAAGTAAAGGGTAGTGAAATGCAATAAAAGAGAATATACGAAAAAAAAATTGAAATGATGTAGTGTGGAAAGATATGTAAAAATGACATATTTTTTATTGTGAGTGACTTTCGCCATCTGATAAAGAATTAACATCACACAAAAAATTGAACAAAATAAAAAAACATGAAAAAGAAATAAACATAATATTAAAGCATGCAGTGTAAGCCAAAATCTCAAACTATTTATCAGGCTGTTTTGTAGAAGTGGTGAGGACAACATGTGTCTTGCCTAAAACGTATTTTGTTTTTATGCCAAGCTTTGAACATAAATAACGGCAAACATGTATAAAATTATAATATATAGAATTAACCAAGGCCATTTTTATATTTCTTTTGATTATTTCGTAATTGATTACATAAATTATGGTCTAATCTTAAATGAAATAACTTAATTTAAACACGGAAATTAGTATGGAATTATTTAAAAATAAAATTCTAAATTTAAAATTATGCATTGAACTTCAGTAAATGACCTTTACAATGTCACGGTTTTTTTAACTTACCTTCTTCTAATTTCTCTTTCATAGGGCCTCAAATAAGAATCTCTGTTTAGTAACGCATCTATTTCGGGAACTTCAACTTCCATAGGATCTAGTTTTGTATATTTTCCACCCATTTTTATTTAAACCAAAAGGAAACAACACGCTTCTTTTTATGCCGAAATACATGCACTACTCCTACTGATATTGAAATGAAAGGTTGAAGAAGGTTAAATTGATTAGAACCTTGAATTTGATAATAAAAGTGTCAAAAAGTCGTTGTTTTTAATTTTTTTATCGTATTTTGATAACTTGAACGGCAAAGACTTTATGTGAGGTTATATATATACAATCACATTTAAAGCTGGATTTATATACTTTTACTTGACATGACATGACAACATTGGTAAAGGTTTGACGTTTAACCACCGAACAACGTTGTTCGGTGGTTTAGCCACAGAATAATAAGCAATTTGTTTATTATTCTGTGGTTTAGCGTTGGTCTTTTTCGTGCTGGCAACAATGGAGTAAAGGTAATCATACACGTACGGCAACAATTCAAGATTTCAGAAATCTAACAGACTTCAAGCTTTTTTCTGATGGTTATTATTTAATGTCAATTTTTAATGATAATGTTAATCAATTAGGTTGTCATAAAATTTCTACTACAACAAAAAACTGACAGAAACTAGCTTTATTATAAATGTACGAGTTAATGAATCACTGAATGTTTACAGATTATTATAAAAATACAATAAGTACAGGTTTCTACAGGTCATAAAATTTCTACTACAAACTACAACAAAAAACTGACAGAAACTAGCTTTATTATAAATGTACGAGTTAATGAATCACTGAATGTTTACAGATTATTATAAAAATACAATAAGTACAGGTTCATATAGTTTTAGAGAGAACGAATAATTTAGAATTCCTATTTTATATAATACATAATTAAATTGTATTATTTCAAATAACAGTTTACCTACAGATGGTAAATTTTGTAAAAATATTTAAAATCATTACCTATATTTCAATAATGTAAAGTTGTTATTTGTCTTATAAGAATAAAATAAACTATTATTTTAATAGTTTATTTTAAAGCAAAGTTTCTGCTAACATCTCTAAAGTCACTTCTGACATGTCTGCCCTCGACGATAGAGTGTCTTCGTTAAAAAACCAAGTTACTGCCGATATGTTGGCCTTCGAAGAAAAGATATGGAAAGGAAGATTGAGGAAACAGGAATAGCAGAGAGAGGAAACAATCCAATTACAGTAGAGACAAAAGAAGACGAGACGATATGTAAGTTGGAAACACGGCCGAAATTTGAAGGAAGTGGAGGTTTTATTTATGTCAAAGTCCCAACTTTCGACGAAAAATCGTCATGGAACAACTACATGAAACAGTTCGAGGAGATGCCTTAGATGTGCTTCAGACCATAGCAGTAGAGGAGACGGATTATTTCGAACAACTCAAGAAGAGGTTAAATATGCGATATGGCAACGAACATTTGGAGCATGTCTATCAGTCGTAGCTTAAAAATCGAAGAATCGATATTCCCAGATTAGTACGATATGCTTATCCAACAGCTCCCGAAGACATGATGGAAAAGTTGGCCTTCAAACGTTTATTGATGGTCTTCGTGATCATGAAATGCAGAGAACACTGCGATTAGCTCGTCACAAGACGCTGGTTGATGTCTTATACGCCTCCCTACAATACAGTCAGCTACGCAGGCCTCTGGCAAATACAGTAAAGTTAGGACGGTAAAAGAGGAAGGAAGTGAAAATAAACTTGACCAGCTCGTTAATATGATGAAAAGCTTGACATACAAGAAAATGAAGACCATAAGATGCTGGAATTGTGGCGAAATAGGACACGTACGAAGTTCATGTAAGCACCCTAGGTACGACGCAAATCAAGAAACTCACCATCAGGAAAACTAGAACGGGTCGGCCTTAGGGGGACAGCTTCGATCCGAAACTTTTCCAAAGGTCCTCTCATACTATTTTTTTCATAATAGCTTCTTTTAAATGTCGTGAAGATAGTGTATATGTAAATGGAGAAATAAATGGTAAAAAGCATACGTTGTTGGTGGATACCGGAGCGAAAAGAACCATTATACGCACGACAGTTATAAACAGCGTAAGAAACTGTTACCAACGAGGTTGCAACTTCGGACCGCTACGGGTGAAAATGCCAACATTCATGGAGAAATCCAGGTACAATTAGGAATTGGAGCAGAAAAGTTCGTCCATACTGTTATAGTTGCTGACAGCGAAGAGGATGTTATATTAAGAATGGACGTAATGAATACGCATGGATTCCAATTGGATTTCAAGAATAAGGTAATCACAGTTGGTAACGAGGAGGTATTTCTTCAGCCACATGATGACCACACTATGCAAGCAGCCGTTAAAGAAGATACAGTCGTGCCTGCGAGAAGTGAAACTATCATAGTAGCGCGATAATCATCAAGAAAGAGACAAAAGTAGGAACTTGTGTACCTGTGACATCTATAATCCGTCAGACGACAACATCTGATAATTCCAACGACCTGATAATTCCGAATTCGACCAAATGGTTGTAGTTGCTGGACAGTCTCTAAATCAGATTGAGAAAAGGAAATTAAGAGAATTTCTTTGGCATTATCGTGATATTTTCGTACCGAAAGGAGGAAGCTAAGTCAATTCGTCAAACAGCTCGACGATTACCACAGGAGAAGAGAGAGGAAGCTGAAACGATTGTTCAGGAAATGAAGAAAGACGGGGTGATAGAACCTTCTACGAGTCCATGGGTCTCTCTGGTGGTCCTGGTTAAGAAGAAAGACGGAACGACGAGGTTCTGTGTGGATTACCGTTTGCTGAACAACGTTACCAAGAAGGATAGTTATCCTCTGCCTCGGATCGACGACACATTGGACATATTGGCTGGAAAAAAATTGTTTTCTACTTTCGACTTAAAGTCTGGATACTGGCAGGTAGAAATGGACCCGGTAGATAAAGAAAAGACAGCCATCACCACAGGATCTGGATTGTGGCAATTCAACGTTATGCCATTTGGGACTCTGTAATGCTCCTGCGACATTTGAGAAGCTTATGGAAAATGTGTTGAGAGGGTTATCTTGGAAAACATGCCTGGTTTATCTAGATGACATAATCGTCTTGGGGAGAGACATTTGAAGACCATCTGAAGAATTTAGAAAACGTTTTTAATCGACTTAAAGCTGTCGCTAATTGATGCTAAACCCCAAGAAGTGCCAGCTATTTCAAGGTAAAGTTAATTATCTGGGTCATATAGTCAGAGAGGAAGGAGTGACTGTGGATAAGGGAAAAATCGATTCCATTAAGGAATGGCCAGAACCAACTGACAAACACCAAGTGAGAAGTTTTCTGGGACTATATACTTATTACCGGAGGTTTAATTAAGAAGTTTGCAGATATCGCTAAGCCATTAACGCGACTCACAGATGAAGCAAGAGATTACCGCTGGGATACAGACTGCCAAAATGACCTTTGAGACCTTGAAAAAAGCATTTAATAACAGCACCAATTTTAGAGTATCCACTGCCAGAAGGAGTGTTCATCTTACATACAGATGCAAGTAATGTGGGAATTGGAGGAGTGCTGTTTCAGATTCAAGGAAGACAAGAACGAGTTCTTGGATATTTTAGTACAGTTCTTTCGAAACCTGAGCGGAATTATTGCGTCACGAGAAGAAAACTTCTAGCAGTAGTGAAATCAGTAGAGCACTTCTATCAATATCTCTATGGAAGGAAGTTTTTAATCCGAACCGACCATGCCGCTCTTAAGTGGTTGATGCAGTTTAAGAATACAGGGGGTCAGATAGCCAGGTGGATCAAACGACTTCAAGAATACGATTTTAAGGATTGAGCACCGGGCCGGAGTTAGCCACCGCAGCGCTGATTCTCTTTGCAGAAGGCCATGTCCAGCAGAGTGTTCCCACTGTAACAAAACGGAATCCAAGGAAGTAGCAGTGTTAAGAACGACGATGGTCAACGACGACTGGACGCCTACTAAGATAAGGTAAGAACAAGAGAGATAGATCCAGTTATACAGAAAATCCGAAAATGGAAAGAGGAAAACCGTCGACCACCTTGGCAAGAAATATCAAACCTATGCTCAGTAGTTAAGACGTATTGGGAAAGCCCAGTGGGACTCATTTATCATGGAAAATGGTTTGCTCAAACGAGTCCTGGAAAATGATGACGGTTCAGAGAAGGAAAGACAGTTGGTGATCCCAAAGAGCAGAATAGCCGAAGTACTTCGTCAGTTACACGACAGTCCATCAGGAGGGCATTTTGGTGTAAAGAAGACCCTTCAGCGAATTCGGGAACAGTTTTATTGGATGAACAGTTCCGACGACGTAAAAGACTGGTGTAAGAAGTGTACTATTTGTGCTACGAGTAACGGGCCTTACCGAAAAAGGAGAGCTCCCATGAGGCAATATAATGTTGGAAGCCCGTTTGAAAGAATAGCTTTGGACATTGCTGGGCCATTTCCAGAAAGTGAAAATGGAGGCAAGTACATGTTGGTAGTAATGGATTACTTCACTAAGTGGGTCGAGATTTACGCACTTCCAGACCAGAAGGCTGCTACTGTTGCAGATAAGTTGATCCAAGAATATATCAGCCGATTTGGAGTGCTTTTGGATATCCATAGTGACCAAGGCAGGAACTTTGAAAGCGATCTATTCCAAGGAATATGTGATAGACTAGGCATGAAGAAAACAAGAACTACAGCATATCATCCGCAATCGGATGGTATGGTAGAACGGATGAATGGGATAGTTGTCAAGTATTTGACAAAGATGGTGTCTGATCATCAGCGAGACTGGGACCAATATTTTCCATTCTTCATAATGATCTGCAGATCTGCTGTTAACGAATCAACAGGCCAGACACCAGCCAGAGTTCTATTCAGACGCGAGATGCGACTACCTTGTGATCTAGAGTTTGGGTGTCGACCTGGAGAAGATGTAGCAGGTGAAGATTACGTGATCGAATTACGAAGAAGAATGGACGATGTACACGAGTTGGTCCGTTCCCATCTTCAGATCGCTAGTGACCGAATGAAGAAACGGTACGATACGCAATCCGAAAAGGGGCGTTTTAAGAAGAACAACAAAGTCTGGCTCTATAATCCCAAAAAGCGAAAAGGTTGTTCTCCCAAGATGCAGCAGTTTTGGGAAGGTCCATACCTCATTATGGAGAAGATCAATGACGTCATTTACCGAATTAGCAAGATTCCGAGGAGAAAGCCGATGATAGTACACCATAACCGGCTGGCGTCTTTCGAAGGTGACCACGACGTAGATGAAAAAGTGGAAGTAAACCAAGT